ATTTCTTTTTTTAATCTTCAGGAATCTGTTGGTGGTGTATGGAGAGAAATGTGTTCCGATATAATAGCAAGCAAAAACTAAACATTTTCTCAGTTTTCTTATTTGTTTTTTCCCATGATTTTTGGAGGAACTGCATCCTTTTTTATTTTACAGCTAAACATTTTTTACCCCAAAGGTCGAAGCGAGGACATATTTATGTTCTTAGGCTTCACGGCTATGTTGGATGTGGCAGACCTGCTGTTATCTCATAATATAGTTTAAATCCCTCCCTAATATTAAAAAAAATGTTCTTATTAATAAAAGTTTATGGCTGTATTGATTTGGCTTTATTCTGCTGATGTTAGGACCTATCTCATGATTTAAAATAAAATCCTCTATAGCCTGGCCCTAATAACACCAGGAGCCTGAACTGGTTCTGCAAATGACTCTATGACTGTGTCCAAATCTTCGCACTAATCACTATAAAGGGCACTAATCACCATAAAGGGCACTATATAGTGGTTACGCCATTTTAGATGAGTGTCTGAACATCTAGTGGATGAAAAAGTAGTGGACCCGAAATTTCCCAAAATGCAACGTGAAAAGTAGTGATCATCCATGGTCACTAGAAGAACTGATATATCCCAGACTGTCGCTACCCGACAGTGGCGACAAATAACAAAGATGGCCGTGCGGGGAGGCGGAGTCACCTGACCAAAGGGAAGTAAAAAGTAGTGATCATCTGTCCAAACAGACAGTTAACTGAGTTTACTATAAAGTCCCCTATATCGTCCCCGCTCTATATACTGATTGAGGGATTTAAGGTTTAGGGGCGGACGTTCGGACACAGCTGATGTTTTTTGTCCTGACGTTCCAACTTTATTATCATGATTTATTTTCATGAGTTTGTCTCATGTTACCTTTTAATTCTAAATAATATAACTTTTGTCTCGTTATATTTTCACTTTACTCTCTTGACTTTTTAAATCATATTACTGATTTTAACCCTTTATTTCCCTAAAAGATAATATATGCCCCTAATAATTTCACATCAATCTGTGTCTATACCAGATATGGAAAGGTTTACACATGTTTCTATGATCAAACTTTTTCTTCTCATTGCTTTCCTAAAGCTTTAGCTTTGGAAAACCTACACAGAATAAAGAAATTAAGAAGTTTACTCTAGTGGGTAGAAAATAGCATTTTGTTTCTTGTTAGCTGGTTTCCCTGCTGGATTCACATTATGATTCAGAGGAATTTACACTATTTCCCCCAAAGTTAGCAAATTCTGTTTGTTAAATGATGCTATCAAGGGTAAATACTATCATAATTATTTTTTCCTTCTTACCAGTGAAAACTGATGGCAGCAGATCTGGTTTGTGCTATAAAACTCTTGGTAGATTTCCATGCAATAGAGGAATGAGGCATCCCTTCTGATTGGTGATCTCTCCTTATAGCTTCTAGGACTGCAACTAACAATTTTTTTGCTAATGAATTGATCGGTTGTTTATTTCAAAAAATTAATAATCGGATAGCCTAAGGTTCCTCAAATAAGTACTTTTAACGAAATTAAACCAGATGAAACTCAAATTAATTAATCATGATTAATTGTTTTAGCCCTAATAGAGGCTTGCTGAACAGACAGTGTTGTTTTTGTCAACATGACAAAATAATTTCATTGGTGCTCCTTTTTTTATGATGATAACATAAACTGCAGAGCTTAACGGGGATCATTGATGACTAAAACATCACTAGTCATAGGTTTAAGTTTTCATCAACGAGCGAGACTATAAAAATTAGCAGGTCATCGGACAGACATTTAATATGCATCATTTTTTTGTAATCTGTGAGACAAGCTAAGCAGTATCCGTTGTGCGTCTGGTTTGGTTACGCAGCCCACCTGACGAGAAGCGGAGCAGATTCTGCATGAGCACAGATGGATGATGGCAGCAGCAGTGGAATGGTCCGGTACTGTGGGCTCAACTCTGACAAACTGCTCTGATTTTTCAGCTGAGCTGAAATGTATCTTAGCTCAGACTCTGCACTTTACTCCACTCTAATGGTTCTCTCTCAGCAGTATGGCTCTTCTTGCTCTCGCAACTTAATAAACTATATGTGGCTGATCATCCTCTGCCAAGCGTAAAAAAAACCTTTGTCTAACTATCAATATTTAATTTTTTCCAGCTCACAAGAGGTGATACTAAACGTTCTTTAATTTCTACCAAATGGAATCCCTAAATTACATCCAAAGAAAATATTTCATTGCATTCTGTTTTTTGTATTTTTGGATAAAGACCCAGGTAAAAAGGTACATAAATCTTTGAATATTTCTTTCTCATAGTTCTCGTTTTTTATCTATTTAAATATGATGTAAACGTTTCCTTGTATTGTCATTAAAACATTTTATGTTTCCTTTGAATATGTCAACATTTTAGTTAGCATATTCAATCTGCATTACCATGGCATTACATGGCAATTATGGAGGTTCTTTCTGTATTTTGCTTATATCAAAACCCTGTGAATTTAAATATACCTTGAATAAAAACTTTTTAAGTTTAAGTCAACTAAAACTGACTAAAACTATCACATATGGTAATGACTAAAATGCGACTAAGACCAATAATAGTCTAAGTCGCAAATCTAAATCTAAGATGGCTGGCAAAAAGAACACAGTGAACAGGTACATACTGACTTAGAAAAGAAACAAGGATTCAGTTTAAAGTTAGGATTGTGTCTGAAATATAAGAACTATTTGCTGTGGATTATTCCACAAAGAACATCTGAAACAGTTAACCTTTAAAGGGTTAATATAAGAGGGAGGAAACATACCCCACCTGTAAACAGACATGTAACTGGTGATATTCAGTTTTTACAGAGTTTAATCTCTGGACTCACCTGGGCTCCCTTGTTTCTGCATATTTTTTTATAGATGCGATCGATTACGAGCACCACGTGTTCAAAACACTGATTGAAGAGCTTGAGGCGCTGAGTTTTGACTTCCTCAAACTCCTTGTTGCACTTTTGGACTACTTTGGTGCTCGCATTGAAAGCTGAATGAAGGAGAGAAAATAGGCATTGTTGTGGGAAAATTTATATCTTTCTCTCATTATATATTAA